GGCAGGTAGAACCACAACGTACTCGACACACATACACACACACACACACACACACACACACACACACACACACACACACACACACACACACACACACACACACACACGTAGCGAACATGACAAGACACACAAAAACACACGTGCGTGATTCCTAGAAAGCATGGAAAAAATAGCGCACCACGGCACCGGCAGTTGGTACTATGGGGTGTGGGTGATACCCTGTGGGTTGGGCGATACCATGTCGACTGAGCAGTCTGACTGTGGAGCGCTATGCAGGGCGGGTCATACCATGTGAAGTGGATGGTACTACGTGGCCTGAGCGGCACAAATGCAGAATAACCTCAATAGGTTGGTTATGCCACATGGGCTACTGGGTGGTGCAATGTGGGGTGTGTGGGCTTTGTTCGGCGGTACTATGTGGCCTGGGAGATACTATGCGGACTGTGTGGTACTGGGCTGGGGGCATCACTCTATGTAGACTGCATGACACCGAGACACACACAGCCACCCCCCCCCCCCCAAAAAAAAAAAAAAACATAGCGGGCCCCCAAAAACAACACACATACCAATGGGCCTAGCTTGGTTGGTACACCTATGAAGTAGTATGAACTGTTGAAATACAGACCCAAGTTCAAATCCAGATACCACGAGGTGACCCGAATAGAATCATTCTGACTTGCCAGGGGCCCGTCAGTTCAACTATCTCAAGGTTGTTGCCCTTTTTTTTAAAGGGGCAAGTACGCTGGAGTCACACCCAACGTTCAGAATAGGCAGCTTCAGCAGTTCCCCAAATGGAGCAAAAAAGCCGACCCCCTAAATCTGCCAAGCGCCACTGCGGGTAATGAATGGCGCAGTTTTAGACCCCTGCTAAACTTGCACATTTCGAAGCTCACACCATGACGCAGGCACCACTTTGTCTTTTTCTTGCCTATTTCAAACTAAAAGTGTGTCACAGCCACAGTTTCCCCTTTTTTTAAACACACACACACACACACACACACACACACACACACACACACACACACACACACACACACACTGGGTGTCCATGGCTGAGTGGGTGTGTAGAGTGTGTCACAGCCACAGTTTCCCCTTTTTTTAAACACACACACACACACACACACACACACACACACACTAGGTGTCCATGGCTGAGTGGGTGTGTAGAGTGGGTTTTATGAATGTGTCAGATTAGTTTCTCAGACTTACTGCCGTTCTTGTCAGGGGTTTAAACCAACAGTCGGCTAGGATTGCAAGGTTGGTTAGTGTGAGTAGAATTGACCACTTTTCTCTCTTTGGGGTATCGCTAACTCTGGGCGATGTGGCGAGTCCTTATCCATCAGTCAAATGCATCCTGGGCAGACTGTCTGTCCAGGTTCAACCTCCTGACAAGTCGGTGAAACTCGGACGAAACAGTCTGGCACAGTCATGCTTTTTTTGAGTGTATAGCGACACACACACACACACACACACACACACACACACACACACACACACACACAGTGTCACACACACAGTGTCACACACACACACACACACACACACACATCGCATAGTTTCTTATGAGGGTCAATCCAAAGGTCCGTGAAGTCCCGAACTATTTGCTGTCTCTCTACTGGGTCCGTGACAGCTCTGGCCACACTGGCCAGAAGGCTTTCCACAGTTTCTGCCTTGGCCTGGGTGAAGCCAAAGGAATGCTCTTTCCTTTCTGCAGCGCACCTCATCCTCCAGATTACCATGAGGACAGCCAACCTAGTTTCTTTGAGAAAGATTACGCTGGAAGGGTGGCCAGGTCGGGGGGAAATCTGTCGAGCTTCATGTCCCATTGGAAGAGAGTATCTGTTAGTTTTTCCCACAATGAAACCCACCAGCGCCAGACTTGTAGCGCCATTGGGCAGGCCAGCAAACAGTGCTCCAAGTCTTCTCTTCTCCCCTGCGAGGACTGACCGCAGTATGAGAAGACTGGCGACAATCAGCTCCAGGTTGGATCTGGCATGATGTGCGCATACGATTACAATTTACAAGGGAACGATTGCCAGGTCTGCTGCTGTGAGCGGGGAGTCCTGCTCCCATCTATTCTGCACTGTTGTGGTAGAGGGGGGTTCGTGCGCACGCCTATAACCCTTCCCTCACCGGATATTGCCAAACCGGGATTGGTTTACGTCGAGACCATTCCCATTTGTACGGGTACACAAAATAGCCCTCGCCCGGCTCGCCGTCGTTTCCCACTACCCTAACCCTGCTTAGACGTTCATTCAGCCGTTGATAGACCATGTCTTCAACCCTCGTCAGTCCGGCCCAGCTAGCCCTGGGCAGGTCTGGCTCATATGCTACCAGTTGTGCATCCCCATCAATTTCCTTACTGGTGACTTTGTATATGGTCACAGGGATAGGGTCCCCGTCATCTGTGGTAATCCAATCACCAGGCATGCGATCACCGATTGCAGCGGGACTGCCTCGAGAGCAACTCGATCGAATACAGACTCAGCCAAATACATACAGACAAAGAGTATTGAGTGGAAGGGTTGAGTTTCCGTAACTCTGTATCACGGAATGGTGGAGGGGAAGATGTTGTACGCCACGATATTAATGCTCAAGGCATCTTCTTCTACTTTTTGGTTCCATTGTGTTTAATCATTCTCACATACAGACAAAGAAAAACTCTCTTGCCCGCAAATGCACTCCTGCCTACAAAAACCAACCCAAAAAGCCAACCAGCATGGGCCCATGCGGAAGCCCAAAGAAAAACGACCAATGCGGGCCCACACAGGAGCCCACCCTTCATCTAAAGATTCTGCGACTTTGACTCAATCACTCAAGCCACAGACAACACTTCCCTTGCATGTTGCCGAACTTGATTGGAAAAAAAAAAAAAAAAAAAAAAAAAAAAAGACCTGATCATTGCTGCCAATACTTCCATCACCAAGGGCATGGTCCCACTAGCGACGGGATAGGATAGAAACGAGTTTGTGGGACAGTTGAGTGACCCAAATCCTGCCGTGCAATACTCGTGATCCCGTGGTCAGTATTTTACATGTATTACCCGAAAAAGTTAAGGAGATCTTGGTTCCCCTCCTCCTGGCCTTAACACTGGGCATGCCGGTGCAAAGGAAGCTTCCTGCCAAAATCTTTTCAATCCGTTGGGGGCATGGCCAACCCCAAAAGAGAGCGGAGTATATGGAGGGCGTCAGGATCACTGCTGACAGAAGTTGAGTTTATTCCAGAAAATGTGGCAGTTACTTTCAGCACTGTTGTTGCAATCACCACCATCAGATCATTTGTGATCTGATGGCTGGGAAGCACTCTGCCGTGATTTCAGGTGGGAGGTCTCTGTTTCTTTTTTTTTTTTTTGCCTTTCTCCTGTTTTCTCAGCCCAGAAATTCTTAATGAACCTGTCAGGCCGCTGCCACTCAGTGTCACACTGGATCCGCCACACTCTTAGGCTTGGACCCCACTGGCCGGCGGCGTGGAAAAGTTTGGCGAGGAAGTGTTTTTCAGACCCCACAGGTGTTGGAAACCGTCGTGGAAAGTCGGCCCGGAAAGGAATTTCAGACCCCACTGCGGTTGGAAAGAGGTCGTGGAAAAGCTGACGGGGCGTTTCTACTCGGCTCACGGTCTGGAAATGCAATGCCGACGAGTTTCCAAACAGTTTCCAAGGACGCCTCCAGACGACTAGGGGGGGGGGCATGTCAAACAGTTTCCAGAAAACGGCTGGACGGCGTGAACCACGGACCGTCGTCGTGGACCGTTTTCTGGACCAGTACACTGGCCCAGACATGCTCTTCATTTTCTCGCGTCGCACGGTTCCCACCGGGGCCCGGGGGGAGTCTGGGCCCTCCATCCTACCCTCGGTTTGCGAACGGCATGACGCAGCATTTGAAATTCGAATTTTTTGGCCGGCTCAGAACGTAGGCCAGCCATGCAGTCGCTTCATGTCGTGCGAGTTCAGTGGGTGAAGCATCGGCATTGACACCACTACGTCGCCGTCGTCGACACGTCCATTAAACCCTCCGTCGTTTCTCACGGGCGTTATGCCATCACTCATTTCCTTCGCAAGTGCAGGTTCCCTGGCCTGCCTACAGGGAAGCCATCTCGGGTGGCGTCGGCAGGCGTTGTCCGGCCGGGGCTTGCATTTCGAAGCTGTTGGCGTTGTGCCGAGCAATGTCTGTAGAACGCACAGTCCGGCCCCGACGCTCTCACTACCTGCCCGCGCGCACACGTGTCGTCCAATGCTGACCTCCCGTGTGGTCGCCATTGCACATGCCGTGCTCCGTCGTGTGCCTCCCTTGCCATCCTCACTTCTTCGTCTGCCTCGGCAGGGCGGTCGTTTGTCCTCGCCAGAGAGCAACCCCGGCACATGTGGGCAGGGATGGGCTGCACATGACGATGTGGTTATAAGTCCCCATCCACACACTCGCCACGTGTTGGTTGTCGAACGCTATAGTCGGCCGTGTGGATGTGACCGCTGCCATCGTCATTGATGTGTGGATGTTATCATAAACAACCACTGCGGCGGAGGCGGGCGACGAAAAAAACCATCTTTGGCTGTTATCGCAGGCCTGCTTGCCGTCGCTATCCTACTTTCCACAACTTCCGTGTTGTCCGTCGTTTTCTGGTGCGCGATCGTGTACTTGTGCAGTCGTCGGTGGAGATAAGCAGCGAAGCGTTGTTGTTGGAGGGCGCATTGCGTGTTTGTAGGTGTTGCCTCCGTGTATATACCTTCCGCAGCCAAATGGAGTCATACCGGTCGATGACAGATCTCTGTGCAGGCAATGGTGGGGGATTCCAGACCCAGGACATGCGACAACAAGGATCTGTCCAGTACACCTCGCATTCACCGGCGAGTATGCAGTCCTTCAGCGGGCAGATGCAGGAGGTTGTGTGTGCGGGGCCGATTCAAGTGCCACCTGCTCGTATGCCCTCTCCATCTATCCATAATGTGGAAGGTGCACGTTGGCGGTTCGTTGTTTGACCCACTGCAGAAAGTCTGCACGCGGGCCCCGTGCACATGGGCCAGACGTCGTTTTGCACACAGGTTGGAGGCGGGTATGACATGCCTTCTCCGCACATGTTCCCGGGCGGCGGTGGATATGGCATTGCTCCGAACATGTACCCCACCCAGCACACTATGGAAAGGGGCGGAGTGATGAGGGACGAGTGGCAGTGGTCCCCACAGTGCCGACAACCGTCGCAGCCCATGCATGGCAGGTTGTCCGCTCCCTCGCCCATGTCGGTGAGGCGGTCTGCTGCCGAGCCCTCACCTTCGATGGCAGATGTGCAAGGAGAGGATATGGATGAGGGGTGGCCTGTCCACAGTGCAACTTCATCACCTGCCGGCTTGCAAGGTCGTTCCTTTGGTGACGAGGAAGATGAGTTGGTTGGCGACGATGAAGTTGAAGGTGATGGCGGTGACATTGATGGGCAAAACTCTGACAACGTGCAGGAGGATAGGGACAGTGCTAGTGCTGGCCAGAGAGATGGGGGCGAGAATGTGGTTGGGCCCCAAAACAACAAGCGTGCAAACAAGCACAGGGGCAAAGATGGTGCTGCGAAAAACAAGAAGCAAAACATCCCCTGGAGCTTGGATGAGAGGATCGCGCTGTCCAGATTGATGGCCGAGGATGATGCCCTTATGGCCGACGCCGAGTGGCAGCATCGGTTCAAGAGAAGGAAGGACCGATATGAGTGGGTGCACGATCAGATAGCGGAGCAGGGGTTTCCGCACAGGTCGGCGGAGGATTGTTGTAAGAAGTGGCAGGGCATGCTGGCGGCAGCGAAGTTGATTCTCGACAAGTGTGAGAATGCTTCGGGGAAACCTTCGTACTGGGACATAACCGTTGAGGAGCGGAAGGCAGGGCAGGTGCCACTAGGCTTTGAGAAAGCTTTGTGGGAAGCGATGGCGTGGAAACTCAATCGACCATCCATCAAGTGTGACCAGACGCTGGCGTCCGAGAACCCGTCCCGACATCCACGTCGGGTGTCCCGTCCCTTGTTCGGGCATCATCAACCGGTGTGTCCCTATATATATATATATATATATATATATATATATATAGGGACACACCGGTTGATGATGCCCGAACAAGGGATGGGACACCCGATATATATATATATATATATATATATATATATATATATAGGGACACACCGGTTGATGATGCCCGAACAAGGGATGGGACACCCGANTCTCTCTCTCTCTCTCTCTCTCTCTCTCTCTCTGTGTGTGTGTGTGTGTGTGTGTGTGTGTGTGTGTGTGTGTGTTGTCATATTCGCTATACACTAAAAAAAAMKCATGACTGTGCCAGACTGTTTCGTCCGACTTTCACCGACTCATCAGGAGGTTGAACCTGGACAGACAGTCTGCCCAGGAAGCATTTGACTGATGGATAACGACTCACCACATCTCCCAGAGTTAGCAATACCCATCCTTGAGAGAGAAAAGTGGTCGACTTTACTCACACCAACCCACACAACCCTGCAATCCTAGCAGACTGTCGGCCCAAACCCCTGACAAGAATCACAGTAAATCTCAGAAACTAGTCTCACACAGTCATAAAACCCACTCCGCACAGCCGCACAGCCCATTGTTTCAACAAAAAAAAAAAAAAAAAAAAAAAAAAAAAACACCCCCCCCACCCAAAAAAAAAAAAAAAAAAAAACAAAAAAAAGAAGCAAAAACAAAAAACCAAAAAAAAAAAAAAAAAAAAAAAAAAAAAAAAAAAAAAAAACACTCCGCACACCCACAAGCCATGGACGCCCAATGGCATGATGTGTGTGTGTTTGTGTGAGTGAGTACACATGAGTAGGTGTGTGGAGAGAGAGAGACCACACAATGTCCACCCGACGTTGTTTTCAAACCCCATACAAATAGCCCGAAAAATATCTCAAATATAACAGAATGGCTGTTTGTTTCTCCTCATCCTCTTTTCGGGAAAGAAGTCAGACCCCGGCCCTGATATTTATATCTCTACCATCTGCACCCGAGAATGGGCTAGGGAGATACTGTCTGTAGGATTGTCTGGCACCCCCGGCATTCTTTTTTTTTTTTTTTTTTTTAATTTGGACCATTTCTAGATTTATGTGTGTCATCCTTGCGCAGGGGCCATGCTAATCTTCTCTGTATCGTTCCAATTTTAACGGATCCCGGCATTCTACGCACTACTCCTTTCTCCTTTTCCATAGGGGAAAACAAGAATATTAAAATACTAATCTGACATGGAAGGTTGAATCTTGATGTTAGATCCGTACATCTACGTGTTCACCTCCAGGTGGTGAGCTCAAAATTCAAATCCTGTTTAATTCTGTGTAATGTGAGGGGCTTCCTCCCTCTTCTTTTTTGTTTGTATAACACTACAGACTACACAAAGTAAGGGAAAATACTTTCTTTTCATGCCATTGAAAAAAGAGGGAAGAGGGAAGAGGGAAGAACCAATGAGCCTAGCTCAGTTGGTACACCCACCCACGAACTGGTGAAATATGAATCAGACCCAAGTTCAAATCCAGATACACAATCAGATATAACCAGAATAAATCATTCTGAATTACCAGGGGCCGGTCAGTCCAATGATGATGATGATGATATCTCAAGGCCAGTGCTCTTTTGAAAAAAAAAGTAAAGAGGGAAGAAAAGAAGAAACTTTTTCCTTTGCTTGGGGGGGCACCAGGCCCTGATGCGATTGTATCTGTCTGATTCTATCCCCATTCAGGGCTTACTCACAGTGGGACTTCCCTGGATGTATGTGGCTCCTTTTCTGACCTCTCCGTGTACATGCCACTAGTCGCCATGGTTGTGCTGCACTACTCACCAAATGCCCAAAATGAGAATGAATCTTCCGCGACAACATGGACAGATACACTGCCATATTTTTTGTCTTTTGTGCATGTGGTGAGTACTGGAGCCAGGCCCATAGGGCTCTGCCTCGCTCCACTGAACTTACTTCGGAGAAAATTTGGTGAGTAGTGGAGCCAGGTGGGTGTCGCTGCCCTGTAACCTCGCTAGATTGGGGTATGAGACCGGGTAGAGGCTTGGTTGGTATACAGTATTGGCTTGGTAGAGACTGGCTGGTTGGTATGGATATCTGAGATTAGGGTTAGGGTAGTATGTGAGATCTGAGTAGATAAGCATTCTGAGTAGTCAGCATCATTCTCTACGGTTTTTTCTCAATCATCCTGAAGTGTTCATGAATCATCCCACATTTTCATCAATCACCAATGTATTCCAATTATAAGGGACGCTGGGCCTGGTTCCCAGCACGTGCTGCTCCCCACGAATAGATTGGAGCAATTAAAAAAAAAAAAAAAAGGCCCATAGGGCTCTGCCTCACGCCACTGAACTTACTTCGGAGAAAATTTGGTGAGTAGTGGAGCCAGGCCCATAGGGCTCTGCCTCACTCCACTGAACTTACTTCGGAGAAAACAACAACCTGAAATCTCCCTTTACTCACTGAATGTAAACGGACTGGCATCTATTCTAGACAATCCAGTCAAATGGAGAAACTTAATTCACGAAGATGTCACAAGGAACAACCCCCCTCTTAAAGGATTTGAACTCTTCTTTTTTTCGCTAATCAGGAAAGGCACCCTATGGGCAATTTGGAAAAGGAGATGTGCCACAAAATTCAACGATATCAGCATCAAACCCGAGAACCCCCTTATCACCATCAAACAAACCATTGAAACAGAGGTACAGGCCATATGGAACAAAACAAAAAAAACAGTTTCAGGAAACACCGGATAAAAGAATAGAAACCATCAGGAAAATTCACGATCACAAGGCTAGGCAACGGAAAACTAGGCTCAATCGAGGGAGATAGACTAGTCCTTAACGATTGGCTAGTCATACCACCACAAAGTGGTCATGATCCGCTTACCTCCCTAAGGACTACTTCAACCCCTCCGCCCGTTGACTCCAACACATAGCCCGAAGATGCAGCAGATCAGAGGATCTGAGCCTTAAGGGCAAATTTAGAGCCAAGCCCACAACAAGATTAAGACGATATGCCCCACCAATAGATGGAGTCCCTACCCAGGTGTTAGTGGTGTCTGCTCTTACCAGCAACACTAACATTGGTAGGGTTTGTTTAAAAAAAAAAA